GGCAGGAGACTCGCTTGAGCCCAGGAGTTGGAGGTTGCTGTGAGCGTGATGCCATGGCACTCTACCCAGGGGGAAAGCTTGAGGCTCTGTCTCAAAAAAAAAAAAAAAAAAAAAGAGATACAGCAATTTTGGGCGGCTCCTGTGGCTCAAAGGAGTAGGGCGCCGGCCCCATATGCTGGAGGTGGCAGGTTCAAACCCAGTCCTGGCCAAAAACTGCAAAAAAAAAAAAAAAAGAAAGACAAGAAAAAGAATACAGTAATTTGGCTGTGTATGGTAGCTCATGCTTTAATCTCAGCATTTTGGAAAACTGAGGCTGGAGGATTGCTTGAGCCACTGCACTCTAGCCTGGGAGACAGAACAAGACCTTATGTCTAGGCTGGGCACCGGTAGTTAAGTGGTTAGGGAGCTGGCCACATGCTTCGAGGCTTGTGGGTTCAAACCCTGACTGGACTTGCTAAAAAACAAAAATAGCCAGGGCGGCACTATGGCTCAAAGGAGTGGGGCGCTGGCCCCATATACTGAGGGTGGCGGGTTCAAACCCAGCCCCAGTCAAAAACTGCAAAAAAACCCACAAGAAAAACAAACAAAAAATCCATATATAAATAAATATATATATGTATAGCCACTGTGGTGGGTGCCTGTAGTCGCAGCTACTAGGGAGGCAGAGGCATGAGAATTGCTTGAGCCCAAGAGTTTGAGGTTGCTGTGAGCTATGACACTACAGCACTCTACTGAGGGTGACAAAGTGAAACTCTCAATTTAAAAAAAGGGGGCGGCACCTGTGGCTCAGTGAGTAGGGAGCCAGCCTCATATACTGAGGGTGGTGGGTTCAAACCTGGCCCCGGCCAAACCACAACAAAAAAAATAGCTAGGTGTTGTGGCGAGCGCCTGTTGTCCCAGCTACTCCGGAGGCTGAGGCAACAGAATCACCTAAGCCCAGGAGTTGGAGGTTGCTGTGAGCTGTGTGACGCTGCCACGGCATTCTACTGAGGGCGATAAATTGAGACTCTGTCTCTACAAAAAAAAAGGGGGGGGGGGCGGAATCACAGTGAGTAGGGTGCCAGCCCCATATACCGAGGGTGGTGGGTTTAAACCCAGCCCTAGCCAGAAACTGCAAAAAAGAAAAATAGCCGGACATTGTGGTGGGTGCCTGTAGTCTCAGCTAGTTGGGAGGCTGAGGCAAGAGAATTGCTTAAGCCCAAGAGTTTAAGGTTGCTGTGAACTGTAACGCCACGGTACAGTACTGAGGGTGACAAAAAAAAAAAAAAAAAAAAAAAAAAAAAGAAAAATGACAAAAAATCTAGCAATTTAGTGGGTCCAAAACTAAGGCTGTACATTTTTGATAAAATAAGATCCCTCTGAATGAACAGAGAGATACAAATTGTATCAGACCCCATTTAACATCTTCCTTCTCTGCCTTCCTGTTCACCTGGACAATTTCCTCTGATGAAAGGTCAGAAACTGCTCCCTGATGAAAGCTGCTTTACAGTGATTTTGTTAGTTGTCCTTGAGTCTGCTGGGGACCATTCCCAATCGTCCCGCCACTCTCCAGGCACAGGTAGCAAATGGCAGAGGTACTAGTTGGTGGCAGCAACCTGGAAGGGCTCCGTCTCTGGGGACAGGAGCTCTCACTGTCATCTTCATTCCCACCGGGCTGTAGCTTCAGGCAGGTGAACAGCACAGGGAGAAGCCTTCTCCTCTTGTCCCTCCTACACCCCCACCATCCAAAGCTCCCTCCTCTCCTGCCAGTGGGGTATCAGATAAGGAAGAGGAGGCAGAGCAGGCCAGTGTTCATACTAGCTGGTCTTTCCAGCAACAGAGAAGGGACTTCCTGGATGCCCGTGGAAACAAGGAGCTGGCTGAGTCCAGGAGTACATCAGACTATGGGTGAGCATCTGGCTGGGTGACCTCCCTGCCCCTACACTTCCTCCCATTCTCAAGCCAGGAGGCCAGAAGGCCCTTCCCCAGGTCTCTAGTAGGGAGAGGACCTCTTTGGTAGGGAGCAGAGGCTGCTCCTGCCTCAGAAGAGGCCCAGGCAAAAAGATCTTGCTTGTGGAGCGGGGCCCATCCACCACGCACTCTGTGGGGGTATCCACAGAGCCCAGTTGGAGCTAAGACCCTCAGATCTGAGCCCGATGGCTATGGCAGACAGCCAAAACAATCATGAGAGAATCTTAGCCCTGCAGAGCCCAGAGACATGGCTGTAGTACTTGCAAAGGACACACTTGCACCCTGTCCACAGGAAGAGCTGTAATTAGATGTTTCAGAGGCTGCCCTAGGTACCACCTCCATGGAGCTGGCAGCCAGCTGGGTGGGGGGGGGTTGGGTTGGAGCCCTCCTCTTCTGTTAAGGCAGCCAGGGCACCTCTCAGGCTCAGTGGGATGTCACATTGTAAGATGCTTTCTTCAAGGTCTCCAAGAAGAACTGTTCATTCTCCAAGAAGTCTCGGTCCTGTAAGGCAGATTTGGATGAGCCCTGGCATGAAGAGACTTACCATGGTCTCAATCCTGATGAGGCCACTTGTTTGCTGAACAATTTATGAGCACATGACTTCGTGTTTTTGTTCTTTTTTTTCCTCTTTTGAGGCAGAGTCTTACTCTGTTGCCCGGGCATTAGAGTGCAGTGGTGTCAGCCTAGCTCACCGCAATCACATAACTCCTGGGCTTAAGTGATCCTCCAGCCTCAGCCTCCTGAGCAGCTGGGACTATAGGTGCCCATCACAATGCCTGGCTAACTTTTAAAAAATTCTTTGTTGGTGAGGGCTCCTTATGTTGCCTAGTTTGACCTTGAACTCCTGCCTCAAATGATCTTCCCACCTTGGCCTCCTAAAGTGCTGGCATGTGCCACCATAGGTGTGAGCTGACATGATTTCATGTTTTTAAGTCTCGGTTTCCTTGTCTGTATACTGGAGATAACATTTCCCACCTCAAAGGGCTGTGTGAGGGTCAAAGCTTATAATAGACACAAAGCCCTCAGCATCAAGCCTGGCACACAGGACATGCTTGGTAAGTGACAACTGTTGTCATTATTCCTCTAGGGTAGCATGAGGTTTTTTTTTGTTTTTTTGTTTTTTTTTTTTTGAGACAGAGCCTCAAGCTGTCCCCCTGAGTAGAGTGCCATGGCTTTACTGTTCACAGCAACCTCCAACTCCTGGGCTCAAGCGAATCTCCTGTCTCAGCCTCCCAAGTAGCTGGGACCACAGGCGCTGGCCACAACGCCCAGCTATTTTTTGGTTGCAGCCATTATTGTTGTTTGGCGGGCCCGGGCTGGATTTGAACCCGCCACCTTAGGTGTACGTGGCTGGCGCCTCAGCTGCTTGAGCCACAGGCGCCAAGCTGGTAGCATGAGGTTTAACTGACACATTGTTTCTTTTCTTTTTCTTTTTTTTCTTTTTATTTTTTATTCTTTTTTCAGTTTTTGGCCAGGGCTGGGTTTGAACCTGCCACCTTTGGCATATGGGGCCGGTATCCTACTCCTTTGAGCCACACGCACTACCCTCTTTTCTTTTCTTTTTTTTTGAGACAGAGTCTCACTATGTCACCCTTGGTAGAGTGCTGTGGGGTCACAACTCATAGCAACCTCAAACTCTTGGGTTTAAGCGATTCTCTTTGCCTCAGCTTCCCAAGTAGCTGGGACTACAGGCGCCTGCCACAATGCCTGGCTATTTTTTGTTGCAATTGTCATTTTTGTTTAGCTGGCCTGAGCCAGGTTGGACCCACCAGCCTGGGTGTATGTGGCTGGCACCATACCCACTGAGCTATGGACATTACTTTTTCTTCTTCTTTTTTTTTTTTGAGACAGTTTCACTTTGTCATCCTGGGTAGAGTGCCATGGTGTCATAGTTCACAGCAACCTCAAACTCTTGGGCTCAAGCGATTCTCTTGCCTTAGGCTCCCTAGTAGCTGGGACAATGGGCACCCACCACAACCTCCAGCTATTTTTAGAGGTGGGGTCTCACTCAGGCTCAGACTAATCTAGAACCTGTGAGCTTAGGCAATTCACCCACCTCGGCCTCCCAAGTGCTGGGATTACAGGCATGAGCCATGGCACCTGGCCCTTGAGGTTTAACTGAGATGATATATGCAAACTGCTCTGCCTAGAACCTGGCCTAGAGGATAGGCCGCAGAGTTTGCTCACTAAGCATCTGCATTGTTTTCCTCCAGGAGCTGGGTCAGCCCTCCCAGAGCCATGCCATGCTTCTTCCTGCCTCACTGCCTGAGCTGGAGAGACTCACTATGTGTGTGTTCAGGCGATACTCACCTGCTCGGCTGTGTGCTTCAGCAGTACTAGTTTGGCATGGAGGTTTGAGTGTCCTGGAGCCAGGTTGGCCAGGGGCTGTCTGCACTGAGGGGTGGGTGCAGGAGTCAAGAGGGCTGCAAAGGCCAAGGAAGAAGTTAGGGACCAAAGTGTCAGTACAAAAACTGGGGGGACATGCCTCCTGTTCCCCAGGCCTGCTCACCCATTGCTGGTGGCTGCACCCTGGACAAATACTCTGGGGGCAGACGGTACTAATTCAAAAGCCTCGGCAGAAGGCTTGTGTATGCTTATCTGGCAAGTCCATTTCTAGGAATTTATTCAAGAGAAATAATAAGGCAAAAGGTACAAAGATGCACATAGGAAGATTTCCACTGAAGGATTGTTTATCTCAGTGACAAGAGAGCACGCAGTGTGGGACGGCCTCATGATGGAAAATCATGCTGAGTGAGAACTGATTCCATGTTTAATTACTCAGAAGAGGACACGTTCTACAGTGTTACTGAGTAAAAATAAGTCAAGTTATAAAACAACATCATACAATCCCAATTTTGTTTTTAAAAACATCTATACCAGTGTAGAATGTTATGTACCAAAATGTTAAAAGTGGTTTTCTTGGCTCAGCGCCTGTGGCTCAAGTGGCTAAGGTGCCAGCCACATACACCTAAGGTGGTGGGTTCGAATCCAGCCCAGGCCTGCCAAACAACAATGA